GTGAGGTTCTTGCAGTAGTTTATGTCGCTCGACACTGGCGTAACTACCTGCATGGGGCACCATTCACGGTGCGCACGGACAACTCTGTTGTCCATACTTTTATGACAAAGTCGAAACTCAATCCTTGACAAGCTCGCTGGTGGCACGACCTATCCGAGTTTAGTTTCACCACTGAGCACATCAAGGGTGAGACTAATCGGGTCGCAGATGCCTTATCGCGGCGCCCTGACCATGATCTGGAGCAAATCCAGCTTGCTGCCATCTCGGTCACCACCGTCCACCAATCGGTGACCGACGAGTTTTGCACTCAGCAACGCCATTGCTCCGACTATCGCGACATCCATGCGACCCTTCGGAGTGGCAAGACCGTCCCGAACTACTCTTTCGGGGACAACGGTCTTGTGTACTGGCATGGTTCACAGGGCACCAGAGAGCCCCATATTTGCATTCCATCCATTGGACAACTACATGTCTAGGCAGTAGCAGAGTTCCATGACCAGGCAGCCGCCGGTTATATGGGCTTCCACAAGACGTTGACTCGTGTGAGCCACTTGTACGTCTGGCCGAAGCGCAAGGACTATGTGAAGGACTACGTCACATAGTGTCCCACCTGTCAGGAGGTGAGTAGTGTGAACCACCTGCCTTATGGTTTACTCTAGCCTCTTCCTATCCCTGAGGGTCGTTGGCAGTCCATCTCGATGGACTTTATCGATCCTCTTCATCTTTCGACTCCCCGCGGTCATGATGCTATCCTGGTCTTCGTCGACTGCTTCACGAAGCACGCACGCTTTGTTCCGTGCCGCTATGCCATCAGTGCACGTGAGCTCACCGACATCGTGTTTGACCAAGTGGTGCGTGACCACGACTTACCTCTGAGCATCATATCTGATTGTGACCTGCGCTTTACCAGCCGATTCTGGCGACGGCTCCACGAACTGTACGGCACCCAGCTCCGCTTCTCCTTGTCTTACCATCCCCAGACTGATGGTCAGACTGAGGTCAGGAACATGACTCTCCGAAATATTCTCTGAAAGATTGTTCGTGACGACCAACAGTGGGATCTCTATCTTGCCAACGTGGAGATAACCTACAACCACGTCGTCTCGCCAACCACGGGGATGCCGCCTTACTATTGCGACCTCGACTATCACCCTCGTGTTCCCGCGGACTTCCTTCGACCGTCACAGATGCACCCCAACACGAGTTGTCCTGCGCTGGATGATTGGGTTGCACACATGACGTCGATCATTAAGACCGCGCATGAGCACATAGCCGCTTCCCAGACTCGCATGGCCGCATGTGCAAACCGATCGAGGATGGATCATCCATTCAAAGTCGGTGATAACGTGCTTATCGACGCCCGCCACTTACAGCTCGAAGAGGATACGCTTCGCAAGTTCCGACGTCGTTTTTTTGGCTCATGCCGCATTCTCTAGGTCGTCGGTTCTGATACGGCTTCTAGCCCGGTCAGCTTCTGTGTAAAGTTGTGCGATTACCTACACCAGACTTGTGTGCACGATGCCTACCATGTCTCGTTACTGCGTCCCTACCGCAGACCGTCTGAGCTTTTTGCTGGACAACCATATGAGCACCCTCCACCCATCATAATGGACGACCACGAGAAGTTCCTTGTTTCAGACATCATTGGTCACCGAGTCACCGACGACAACCCTCCTCACGTTGAGTATCTCGTACGTTGGAAGGGTTATCCTGATGAGGAGGCTACTTGGGAGCCCCTCGAGCATTTGTAGCACGCTCTCATGTTAGTGCGTGTCTATGACCGTGCTCATCGTGCTGGGTTGATTGCTCCTCCTCAGGCCACTGACCCTCTCCCTTCTCCCTCGGCTGAGGAGACCGCTGTAGTCGAGCCTGCTCCATCTGAGGCAGACCTTCAGCAGCAGCCGGATGCTTCTGAGCGTCCACGGCGCACTCGTCATCGTCTTGCTCGATATGATGATTGACTCTGACTTATCTTCCCACGTCTTTGACTTTTCAATACTCCATCCACTCCAGTTTTGCCACTTTAGCTCGTCGACGTTGCGGCTCTTCCTCGACGACATTCTAGACTTCTCCTCATGGATGTCATCGACAGCTTCACGACCTTCCTCACGATCAGCTCTGCGTACTTCAGACGTCGTCACTCTCTTACCACCTTACCCTGTACAGTACCCTGGTTGTGTCGCATGATGATCTCCCTTCGTCGGGTTCCTCTGAGTTGGGCTCTCCCTTGGTATACGCGTAGGCATCGGGACCGTAGCGTTGCCCTGGCTTCCTAGCTTACGGATCCAGTTCCGACTTCCCCCACCTTAGGAGTCATTTGCATGATTCCCTTACCCATCACTTTTTCTACCCCCTGTCGGCCCTCACGTCCTAGTTAAGCAGCCTTGCATGCTTCATCTAGGTGCGTCCAGTATATCAGGCTCCCTTATTCCCTTGTATGGTCGACCCTCCATAGCGGTCACCCCTTTAGTCGAGCATTACCCGCCCTGATGGTCTATCTATTAGGGTCACTGGTTTTGTTTGTTCCCAATTCCCTACCCTCATTGAGCCTGATGACATGTGTCTCCCTGTCATTATGTGTGGATGCCCATAGGAGTTTATCGACCCCTAGGCTGCATTCGCCACCCTCAGAGACCATCCCACCTTGTGGTTTGCAACAAATTTATCATGTGACATACGGTTGTCTTGTTGTTGCATTGTTGCTCTCAGAGTGAGGCTACTGCCTCTAACATTTCTAGGATTTAGTTATTTTTGCTTTTGCTATTCTTAGGAATTATACACTAGTCAGCTGTTTCCAGACTGAGGCTACTGCCTCCAACATTCTAGGATTTAGTTGTCATTACTTTTTGCTTTCCTAGGACATGTATATTGGTCAATTGCTTCTGCTTTGACTTAGGCTGTAGTTGTGACATTGCTGTTTTTTTGCCACATTTTCTAGCCTAGGTTGCATTGCATGGACTCAGCATGGAGCCTGCTCCGCATCCTAGACTACTTGGGTTTTCTTTTTCTTTGGTAGAGTTCCGCTTCTTGGCGGAAGCGTGCTTGTATCTAGGCGATCCATCACAGGTCGAGGATCGTGTAGCGGACCTCTGGTTGGCCTGTGAAACCAGCCCCTTGGCCTGTTCTCACAGGCCTGTGTTGTATTCGGGGTAGTCCAGTCCAGACCGGTACCTCTGTCGGTACCAGCCAGTCCAGTCCCGTCAGTCCGCTGGGGTATACCCCAGCCAGAGTCTGTATTTCGGATCATTCTACAGTCGCACATTTGGAGTATGTGCGTTGGAGTCTCGAGTGGGAGCTACGCTGTGCCATCTTGCTCCACTCTCATCCTCCATCTCCATCTCTATCCCAGGCGGAGCACCACACCTGGTGGGTCCGCCACAGTAGGACACAAAGCATGATGTCCGGGCGCGTAGGTGAGGCCAATGGGGATTCAACGCTCGGCGTGAGGGCACGGAGCGAGAAATTAGCTTTGTGAAAAATGGTTGGGTCGGCGCGCGAGCTGGCAATTTGCGGTGGGGTGACAATTTTTTGCACCCTGTGGAAAATTTGTAGCGGCATGTTTGGCCCCTGCCCCAAGAGCGGTAGTCAGAGATGGGGTGGGACCGCTGGTGGGGGGCCCGGCTAACGCAAAGATTGAGCATTTTGCCAGTAGCTGCCAGTGTGCCTTCCTTTTCATCGTCCCCCAACCCCAACCGAATAGCAGTAGTGTCTAAGGCCAACACTCTCCCACACTCCGCACACAACTCATTCGCTCTTGCACTGCAGGGGTCCCCTCTACTTAGCAGTAGTGGTAGGTAGGTAGTGTAAGGCAAGAAAAGAATTTGAGAGAAGAATGTAGTGCAGTTTAAAAAAAAATAATAAAAAAAATTGTAGGGGCGCATGGGGCAGTCGCGCATTCATATGCTCGTTTTTTTTTTGTTTTTTTTTTTCAAAGGCTAAGGGCCTCGTTTGACACCACTGAACTCAAGGGTTGATGGAAAACTCTTCGTTCCACCCCTCCCTAATGACCCTGCCATAATGTTTTCACTTTCCTGCTCTCAAGTGTGCATACTTGAAACTCAGGTGCCACTGGGGCAATATCACACTTGAACTCAAGGTACCTCCCGGAGGTGCCGGCGGATACTTCCAGCACTCCAAGTGGGTTTTTCTTTTTGTTTTTGTTTTTTTTTCCAGCAGGCATCCTGGCCCAGGGTTGGTCAAGCTGTGGGTTTTCGTTTCAAGTGTAGTTTGTTCAAGGGTTTCCTCAAGTGTAAATGGAACCATAAATCGAGTGCGTGTAAATTAATCACAATTTCTCGTTTAGTCTGCACTTGGAAACTCAAGTATTTTCAAGTGGTGTCGAAAGAGGCTCTAATTCTTTAAAAGTAGAGTCGTGGCCGTTAACGCGCCACGATTTTAGGAAACGTACGGGCTACTACAGGAGCGCCCAAATTCATCCAACTAGAAACGTTTCTACTCTATTTCTTTCCGCGGCCGATAGCTGGGCCAAGTACTGGTGTCATTGTAGTATTACTGGTGTCATTATAGTATTACGGGGAACTCCGTAGCAGCCACATCCGTTCTCAAGCCTTCAACGACGGACATGCGGGAGCTGCACCCACCAGCAGGTGCGATACCTGCTACAGCAGGCGGGCGATACCGGCCAGGGTTCAGCCTCCCGCACGTATGCATCCGTGCCCATCTGGCTTGGCGTACGAATACCCGCGGGCTGCCCCGTGAGCGAGGCAGGTCGGACGGTGGCCGCGAAGTTCAAGGTTTGGCGATCGGTTCAGATGTATATATATATATGTCCTCTTCTCTCTCTCTGCCTATGGTTTGCGGGGCAGTTCTGTTTGTGACGATATATATATATATATGTCACAGCCCCTCGTTTGTTGTCCTCTTCTCTCTCTCGGCCTACGGTTTACCGGGCAGTTCTGTTTGTGACGATATATATATATTGGTTCAGATGTATAGAAATGCCCTCTACCCGCATTTTGCGGAGGGCTCGTGTGCCGTCCGTCTTTCTTCAGTAAAGGCGGAAGAATAGCACGCCTGCCTCCATCTTTCTTGACACCAAGAAGATGACCACTGTCCCCCGCAAAGGGCCATGTCGAGAAAGGTCCGCAATGATCGCGCAATGTCAACGCCCAAGTTCGGTGAACGGTTGGTTACAGAGCCCCCATCCGCTTCCACAGGCCTCATCTGTCCAACTGGGATGCTTTCCAGGCGCCAAGCTACCGGCTGGACGTAAGGTCCGGGCCGAAACACCACATGTATGATGATTTGACAAAGCCTGTATTATTGTAAGCTATTCCGCTATAGCTGAAAGAAAGAATGCATCTCCATCTCTCCAGCGCTTCCTTGTGGCTCCATAGTCGGTAGCAGTCAGCTGTGGAGGAAGAGGACGAAGGAGCGGGTAAAGCAACGTCGCCGCCAAGCTACCGCCAGGGAGTGGGGTCCGGGCCTAAATACCACATGTACGCTGATTTGACGGAGCCTGTGTCATTGTAAGCCATTTCGCCATATCTGAAAGAAAGGAAGCACCTCCATCCCTTGCTTTCTTGCGGTCCCATGCATTAGGAGGTGGCTGTGGAGGAAGAGGAAGCAGGAGCGGGCAAAGCAGCGGCGTTGTCGGAGATAAAAGCAGCTAAGGTCAGCGGGAGGATGGCTATGGAGGACGCTGGTGACGGGTTGGCCGGTGCCGTGACTGCATCCTCGAGGTTGCACATGGGCGACCGGTCGTCGGTCGTGGAGGATTGCGACGCGCAGATTGAACGTATGCCGTCGCCCCTGGGACCGTCAGAGTCAAGGGCGGAAGAAGGGGAAGCAGAGGTGGTCGGCCGCTCCCCCGGAGAACCGTCGTCGAGGTCAGCGCCAACCAGTCCTGGAGAAGAAGGGAGCGATGTTGATGCGAATACCCCGAATGCCAATCGAGGAGGCAGCTTGACTTGCGTTATGCCCAAAGTGGGCGTCGGGGTCGCTGTGCTTGTCGTCCGCGACCAGTCCGTGATAATTGGACGTCGGAAAGGGTCGCATGGCACAGGAACTTACGCATTGCCAGGTGGCCACCTGGATTTCGGTCTGTGTCCTCTCTTCCCTTCTCCTCCTACCTCCTCCTCTCCTTTTCCTCCCGCCAAAGTTTTTTTTTTTTTTTTTTTACGGAAACTTTGTGATCATTCGAGGAAACATCCGTTTTCCTTCCTCTTCATTGGCATGGCGTCGTCGTTAAACCCGCTTTTTTTTTTTTTTTTTTTTTTTTTTGGTACCCTTCCTGTCATGGCGTCGTTGCTGAACCCGTGCAATATGTTCTCTGCAGTCATTGGTGCTCGCTTTCCCACCGTCTTATCCCGAATACAGCACACCCCGCTCGTGAATGTATATACTCTACCTTTCTGGACCGATGCCGTCATGCTAAGGGTGGGCTGTTATCGAGGGATAGCGGTAGTTTAATCGGTTCTGTAGTAAATGTTTCCACTTTGATCTTACTAAATATGCTACTTTTTCGGCATATTGTATGTATGAATAGAGGAAATTGTTGCAGACTATGTTCACCATGACGTAACGGGAAATTTGTTTTTTTTTTTTTTTTTTTTTTTTTTGAGAGCTTTTGCTATACTAGTAATAGTCTGGCATAAATAATTTAGAAGAGCTTCTTATGAATGGCTTTAAAAGTTGAACTTCGTTACCTGGGGCGAGGCCCCGCTAGCACAGAGAATTGGATTCAACGCCTGAATCTGGACGTGTTTGTCGAAAGGTGCATAAAATCGCGATTAATCTGCTTTTCTTCAAAAAATCGCGATTGATCTGCTTTTCTGCATCTTTGAGTGAGACACGTCCAGATTCATGGCCTTAATCCAATCCTCGTTTGCCAGTGGGACAGGAAGTGATATTTAGGGGGTTTAACTATTTCATCTTTTTTCTTTTTTCTTTGCTGGACAGTCTTTTTTTACCTTGATTTCACCACCACTACGTGTCACGAAATGCAGGCCGCTGCATAAACAAACAGAGATTTCCTGCCAAAAAAAACGAAAAGCAAAAAAGAAAAAGTCCTAGTGTGCTGAAGCTCCATCGTCGTTATCTACGGTTAGCATCTCTCAAAGCTATTCACAATGGGACCATCTGAAGTGTATCTCGACGGCCGTACATGGATGAATCTGACTGAATTACGTCCAGAAAGAAGTAAGGGTCTCGTTAGACACAACTAAAAGAATCCTAAATTTTTTAGGACGAGTCCTAAAGATTTTTTAGGATTTCGTGAGGAGTGGTTGCACGCAATCCTAAAAATCGTCTTTTAGGACTCGTCCTAAAAGTTGTCCCGCGGCCTCTTTTCAGATGCCTATACGCAGCCGCATCGTGGATGTCCGTCCGCTCCTGGGTGGTGTCCATGGTACACAGCGCGGTAGGCCGTCGGTGTGTAGGTGTCTTGTATCCTGGACTTGGAAAGGGGGGGTTGGTTCTGGCTGGCATAGGACTGGCAAGCGACGCAGAAGACGTACCAAAGACGGCGCTGGCAAACCTTCCGCCATGGGTATTCATCTGTGGACAGTGTGGAGTGTGCGCGAGTGGTGAGCACGGGGCGCATGTGGGGCGGCGGCGCAGCTTGTCCTCCTGCGGTTGGGCTGTCTTCCACCATCGTCCGCGAGTGTGCACATCCGGACGTCGGGCTAGCGTGTTGTCTTCCACCAGCGTCGACCACCGGCGCACGTCGTCCTCCTCCTCCGCTTCGCGCTAGCAAGGCAACGGTAGACTACGGAAGCCTGGCTACCCTCGGTCCTCCCCCCCCCCACCAACGGCAGTGCACCACCCCCGTGAAGGCCTACTGTTCGTGGCCGTTGGCCCCGTCCGCCCACCGAATACCTCCGATGTCCGACCCCTGGACCGATGGCCCAGTTCTGCACCAGCACTTCCGAGACGACGGTGTGGTGCGCACGACGCCACGACCCCGCGAAGTGCGGGAATCCTAAATTTTTCAGTAGGTCGGGGGCTACTGGAAAATTTAGGACGATTTTGGCTGGGGAATCCTAAATCTTTTAGGACTCGTCCTAAAGCCGTTTTCACATTTTCGATCCCCGCGTCCGATTTAGGATTGCTTGCAACCAAGACGCAATCCTAAAAACGTGAACTTTTAGGAGTGTCTAGCGAGACCCTAAGGAAGTCCCATAATCCCTTGCGAAGAGAGTAATCTCGTGCTTTGCCGTCGCCCTTGTCGAGTTGACAGTTCCAGGGCAAATCGCCCACGAGCTTGTCGCCCTTGTGGAGTTGACAGTTGCTGGGCAAATCGCCCACGAGCTTGTCCCCTTTTTTTTTTTTTTCCTTGGCCACAAACTCGAAGTCCTTATTTCATATCCAAAGGTGAAGAGCCTCGCCACACCACTCACCAAATGTGCAAAATGAGAATGGATCTTCTTCCACTGGAACAGGGAAATATACACGGCTATAATTTTTGTCTTTCTTTTCTGCATTCGCCGAGTGCTGCGGCGAGGCCCCAACTTGTGCAGACAAGATTCGCAAGGCGCAAGAACAGCCATCAATTAATTGAATCTGAATGGCTGTTCAAGGAGAATCTTGCAGCTGAGATTGGCATCTGTGGTCATGCAGTCTTTGCGCCTCCATCTACTGCTCACCAGATGTGCAAAATGAGAATGAAACTTCCGCTGGAACATGGAAAGATGCACCACAATGTTTGCATGTGGTGAGTAGTGTGAGTGTGGCATTTTATGAAGCACTCGCCGGACTAACAGGCAGATAGATCATACTACCTTCTTCTCCCAAATACGAAGTACAAAACCGAAAGATACCCCAAATACAGCTATAATGACCGGACCTTGTATTCGAGTGAGGAAGGTAGGCGTAAGGCTTACCTAATTAGACCATTTCTCGATTTATCCCTGTCATCCTTGCACAGGAGCCATGCTAATCTTCTGTATGGCTCCAATATTAACGGATGTCGCAAAGGACGGCGTACTTAATTACGTTATATGATGACAATTTGTTTTGTTTTTGGTCTTAAATGAGGTTAAAAGTAGTTTTTTTTTGGTTGTAATTATAGTATTATGGGGAACCCCGTAGCAGCCATATCCATACGGGAGCTGCACCCACCAGCAGTTGCGATACCTGCTACAGGAGGTGGGCTATACCGGCCAGGGGTCAGCCCAGCAGTTGCGATACCTTCTACAGGAGGTGGGCTATACCGGCCAGGGGTCAGCCCAGCAGTTGCGATACCTTCTACAGGAGGTGGGCTATACCGGCCAGGGGTCAGCCGGTAGCATCAGGACCGAGCTTCTCGATCGGCCAGTCGCTGTGCCTCCCCTCCGCTCCCCTCCCCCTATCTTCTTTTTTCTCTTTTTTTTTTCAAAAAGAGCTACGGCCTTCAGATATAGTCATTGAGGTGACCCACCCCAGGTCGTTCAAACTTATTTTGATCGCATCTGGATTAGAACTTGGGTCTGTATTTTGACAGTTCATGGGTGTACCAACTAAGCTAGGCTCTTTGGTGGGCTGCCAATTCTCCCTTGGCTGCGGTTTCGCATGGTGAACAGTGGGAATCTCGTTAAACATCACCTACGTCAGCTGGTCGAGAAAATCATATGTATGAGGTAAGGGTTCCACATTCTTTACAGTTACAGAGTTCAAACGTGGATAGTTTATGCATAGTCTGAGTTCACCTTTCCTTTTTAGACATGACGAGTACAGGCACACCGTAGGGAGAGGAACTCACCCTAATCCATCCTTTTTCAGTTAGTTCCTGCAGTTGTTTCTTCATTTCTTTCAATTCCCATTGGGACATTCGATAGATTGGTCCTTTGGGAATCTTAGTGCCTGGAATAATCTCACTGGTATGTTTGATAGTTCTTTCGGTTACTCCCGTAGGTTTGCTTTGAAGATCCTGATATTCGTCAAGTAATTTTTCAATAGAATGTGGATAGGACGAAGAACACTCAACCACGTTCTTGGCGAGCACCATCACTACATCCTGAACCAACTTCTTCTTCGTGACCGTGCTTCGGAAAGCAGGAAGACTCATACAATAAAAATATAGAGATGAGTCTGAACCAGACTTGTGAAACAACTTAATTGATTTCATTTAAGATTTCTCATCTTTCAACTTGAAATTGACAATTTTATCTTTGAACTTAACTTTTGGGTTGGCTTCTTTGTGCCAGTCCATGCCCATAATTTAAGTCAAACAGTAAATTCTTCTCTACTAGGAAGGTGAATTCATGCAAAATCTTCTTACCTTTCTTTATCTGGAAATAACATTTTACCCGGTTGACATATTGTGAGACAATTATAGTGTTTTGGTCAGCCAACATAGACGTGATAGGTCTAGGCAAGTCTTGTACCTTCATCCCTAAGTGCAATTTCTTAATTGCTTCTCAGAGATGCAGGACCTTGTAGACCCATAATCTAGCATGCATCCGTGCAATTTCCACATCCGCTATGACCAACTCACCCTTAGACTTAGCTTTCTTAGCCGATAAACTTCGCAAAGCAATTAATTCACGTCCAAGTTTATAAAGGGACTCGCCTAGTGAAACAAAACAGAAGATTCACTCATGGTGAAATGGGTGAGGGGCCGAAGAAGAGCCATCCTCTGCTATTGGAGGGAGAGGTTTGAAAGGGGTTCCGAATGAAGGGACACGAGGCAATTATATGTCCTCAGTAGGAGCAGATGCTGGCTTCTCCCTTTTGGGTTCCGAATGAAGGGACACGAGGCAATTATATGTCCCTCAGTGCCGCACTTAAGGCATTGACCGCTGTCCATGCGATTGTGACGTACTTTCTAGGTGATGCCCATTTTCTCCAAGGGCTTCTCATAAGCTATGTCAGGATGTGCATGAAAGGAATGTGGCCTCTTCTTCGGTTTTCATGAAAGGCCACATCTCCATTGTCTCGTCATGGAAAACGACGTTGAGGTAGTCTTGTCGTCTTTGCCTCCACAATATTTTTTTCTTGGTTCCATTAGACTTCCCTCTCCTTCACAATTCCAGAATAATTACCTTTCACTTGGGTGGTTATCCATTCGTGATTCTGCATATTCGATCTTTCGAATCAACTCCCTTTCTTTGTTCTTCTTCC